CAGAAGATAATTCAACTTAAGGATTTTGCTCCGCTATATTCGGCAGCAAGTCATATGTTAGCAGAAGGACACAAGTAGCTCATCGACATTAACCGGATGTTAAAATGAGTATTATAGCACGTAGTTTTTTCATGTTAATGGGAGCAACTTAAATAAGTTATAATTTATTGTTTAATTTTATATATGTTATTAAAAGAAATTAATTGTAAATTGTGATCCCAAATATCATTATCTATCCTTGATTAAATGAATATGATGATGATTACTTTACTTATCAAAAAATTTACTAAACACCTACAAATAACAATTTTAAGATTGCAAAGTTGGGCCCGTATACGTGCCCTTTCTCATCTATATTGTGCGGACTCTTCAAAATACGGTCGCACCCGTGTCGGATCCTTAAAAAATACACTACTTTTGGAGGATACAACGCGCACCCAACGATATTTTCGGAGAGTCCGAGCAACATAGGATTTTATTACAATTGCTCACAGAAATCTTAAAGCTAAGGGTGTGGTGGAACATATATCTATGCATAGCATAGTTTCGTTCAAGCTATGAGTTTACTTCTTTTAATTTTAGATCTATAGTTACTCCGAGTCTCTTGTTGTCTGATATACATATATGTCATTATTCACCTGCTCCCTAAGATGTTACTCCCTTAGATGCTGCAAAAAGCTATGGCTATATCTGTTCAATCTTACATCTAAATATCAAATTATACCTTATATCAATTTTTCTTGTGCTTTTTGGTGGCTAACATACCGTGTATGACACATGATCTCTAATTGCACTATGATGAATTAGACACTATTAGTCAGGCATTTCGATGGATCTTTACCTGAAGTTAGACTTTGATAGTTTTGTTCTCTAGGGTGGCACTCTGGTTCTTCGCATAGCTGTTTCATCTGAGAGCACGCTAAATAAGAGCTTTTTACTATTGTATTTTATGTAATTTTGGATCAGACTCATGCTTACAGTGATGATTTCCTTTGATCACTAAAAATTATAAATCTTGAAGACAGTTATTAAATTATCCTTTTCTGTGGTAGTATGAAGCCTCTTTTTAGTAGTAGCCTGCCACTAAATCTAAGCATCCATCAAAGATGTATTATTACAACTGCCAGGTTAAGCATGAAGGAAGATAAGAAGAAAGGATATTCATGAGAGGAAGGTACGAGTATACTAGAAAATTAACATAATATGCTACTCTTTCGGAAGGATTTTCAATTGTTCAAAGTCAAGTTGTTGAAAAAATATGTTGAAGAACTTGTGTAGACTTCTTTGAGTTGAAATATGGTTAATTAAAGTTAAGAGTTACCGTATCAAAAATGAAAAATATATATTGATGCAAAAGTTATGCGAAGAACAAACCAAAAATTTGAGAAAGAAAAATACATATCTCGTAGGCGGAGTGCATCTAAAACATGTGAGGCTCTTGCATAAAATTATACAAAATAGTCATTGATGTTAGTTGGCTGATCAAGCATGAGAAGTTAATCGATTAACTTCTGATTGAAAGCTTCGTATAAGCACCAATTTCTACAGGACTATATCTTGAAAGAGATTACATGTCTGATTGTATAAATTCTCCAATATTTTATGACATCTAAATTGTTTTCATCTATTGATTTTGATAGATACTGAGTATTCATCAAAGAGAAGTTCAAAGGAGTCCCATGGCTGAGGAATGTATTGTGTCAATTTTTGTTTTGTTTCTTTGCTTTGTGCATGCTATCACTGTTCCTTTCTCTAAGTTATGATGCTATTTTGTGTACATTATAAATTCATGAACAGCTGAAATGTAGCCAATAACTGCTGGTCGTAACTTCATTATTTATGCAAACAACAATAAAAATAAAAGAGCAAAGTAACTGATGAGCTGAATATATCCTAAATGTGTGCATTTAATTTAGAATTGAATTTGCTCCGTGGCTATGATATGATTTGAATAGTTAATATAGGTCAGATTCACATGATATACTAGACATTTTGATGACAAAAAATAGTGTATTTTTTGCTGGCGAGTTGGTGGCATGCATGGTGGTTGACAAATATTTTTGCATTACATCATTATAACAACTTTTAGATAGTGCTTGTTTAATCTGATTTGGCTTTCTCTTTTTTGTTGTTGCTCTTTATTTATTTTTAGGTGGTTGTAGAAAGTCATTCTCTTTACATAACAAATAACCCGTTTGTCTAAGCTTGATTATAGAATCAACATTAAAGAATATGTTATCTTTTTGTTCCTTGGTAAATTGTAAATCAGTACAACTATTAGACAGCTGAACTCAAGAAGGTTGATTTGCTCAGCTTATGATAGGATAAATTTATTTGTGCTAAACTGCTGATACCCAGAGACGATAGAAGGCATCATATAAGAAGAACATCCTGCTATTGTATTTTGGTGCTATAATTAATGCTTATCCTTTTTAGTTCATTAGATATAGTACGAGGATAAAGAATGCAAATTCTATTTTTTCCTACTTACAGGTCGCAAAAATTTTGTTTTAAAACTTTTTTTTTAAAAGTAATTCACATTAAGTTGGGCCCGTGCACGGGCCATGCCTCATCTAGTGTTAGTAACAAATTCCTTTGTTGTTAAGAAGTCGACATCAATATCTTAATGTTTAGGAAAAAGTCTTTAATTTTCACTTCAGAGCAATGAAGTGAAATAAGTAAAGGTGGCACACATATATCAATTCTCGTATAGCATGAATATTCCAATATCGAGAAACTGCATGTTATTTTCGGAACGTTCATTTCATGGTGGAAAAGGTACACTGTACTAACTTTTATTCCATTAGTTCCATTTACAATTCACTTTATAAAATGACTAAAATAAGGGTAGAAAAGTGACCGCTTGCGCATATTCGTGTCTATAATTAATAGAAAATGAAAAAAAATCAATTGAAATAAAAGAAACCAGTAAACAAATACCTGGCAGGTCGGATGAATACAATCAAATAAAATATAATTCTGATGCAAAATATTCAAATTCAAAAGTATTCTTAGTTGCATGTATAGCTTTCTGGAGCAGAGATCTAGCAACACATTCTAGGCACATATCATTGATATCGGTAGATGCGGATCTAGGAATTGAAGTGTATGAGTTCCTACTACAATTTCAAGTCAATATATCATAATAACCGAACTAAGGAACAAGTATTAATATTCAACGTATATTTACAAAATAACAAAATTTGTTTTTGGAAAAATAAACTCTCCAAGCCAACAAGGCCCTTTTTCAATGTAATATCTTCTCACTCAGTCACGTAGATTAGGAGGATATTCTCATATTTGTTTTCTTTTACCAGGATCGGGTTCAAGAACATTATCTTTTTTTGACAATTGGGAAGAATTGACATTATTATTAATTATTATTAACCACGGGACATGAAGGAGAGCTTAGTGATGGAGAACTAGAAGTAGAACCTGAAGAGGTTCGAATCTTGAAGAATCGTTTGATCATCTTGACTCTTACTAAAATATCCTACAAATCATAAGAAACAAATTAAATATTGTATAAGAGGAAAACAATTAAAAAAGGAGGAGGAGGAGGGAGATCGAAATACCTGTTGCAATGGAGTGACAGTAAGTGAAGAAGTTAAAACCATCACAAAAGTTTTTACTTTGAGTGGCAGCCTAAACGTTAAAACATTGAAGGACTGCAAAATTTTAAAACCCTTAACTTTTTTTTTGGAAAGTTTGAATTGAGATTTGGGTGAAAGAAGTTTGAGAAACCCTTTTTAGTGGTTGTTGACTTGTATCCCTTTTAGTTTGAGTCAAGTCTTTGTTATTATTATTTTAATTAAAAAAATAGAGTAAAGTTAAAAGCTAGCTGTAACTCACAAATAAAGGTGCATAAAACTTTGTACCAAAAAATCGCAAGAAAAAGTAAAGTTAAAGGCTAAAAGTTGTAACTCACAAGAAAAAGTAAAGCAGATGAGATTTGATGTTACATTGTGGGTTACGGAAAAATCAATTTGTGTTTCACGCCTTACCATTGAACCAGCAAAAGATTATGTAAATAGGTTCCCATATAAATATTGTTATATATTTAATAAATTTTTTAATACAAATATATAATTTAGGCAAAAATTATTAGATCCCGGAACCCATACTTATAACGGTAGATCCGGCCCTGCTTATAATATGTATCGTTAGGTTAACAAGGAAAGAGAAAAAAGAGTTTCCAAAACGATGTTCAGCAGTTTAGCAACTACTAGAGTATGACATCGACTTATTAAAGCATAAGTATATTTTTCCTCCTTAAACAAATTGCAATTCCTACGAAACAAATACTATTGCCAAGCAAAAAAATAATTTGCAAAGAAGAGAAATTTTCTTTTATGGATCTTAAGTAGAATCTGATTGTAAAGAAATAAGGGGTGTATCCTTGGGTTTTGTCCCGTAAAAGAGATCAAGTCAATGACGATGTTCGTTTGTTAAGTATATCTTCAAATTAAGTCAAACCAACAAATATAAATTAGTTTTTTCGGTTTCAGTCTTTTCAAATCATATAACATAATTAACATATCATATTCATACAAGTTTTACAAGGATACTTGATATATATA